TGCTGGAGAGATGAACTTTCCCCAGAATTTTGCTTATTCTGGTCACGGTTGTCCAGCCCCTGTGTAAGGGGCTGTGTGTGTTGCTCCAGCCTGGCCCATCAGCTGTACCGCCTGGGGCTCAGGGTGCTCGTCAGTGACACACCAGGCGGTGTTTCTGGGTAAAACGTTGTTATTTTGCCAATTGTAGCCAGCGATTTTTGTCCATCATCTGACACTCAGTTAGAAGCATTTCAGGGAGGAGGCTATGGAGACTACATAGCATTTGAAATAACACACAGCTGAAGTCAGGGGTGCTGGATCCGAGCGTTCGCTTTGGCCCGTGATGAGGAAAGGGCAGCCGGCAGGCGGCTGCGACGGGGGTCTCTGCCTTTTATTTACTGCAGCTCACGCTCTGAAAGCCGGCTGGTCCCCTGCGCATCAGCCATCACGTTGTCTGAATTCCTGCAACACCACAGTCAGACGTAGTCTGTGGGCTCCCTTCATCAGTTTAGTTTTGCTTTTTCCTGTTGTTTTCTTTACTCAAAGCACAAATCACTTTAGACTTAAAATGTAGAATTTAAATCTAGCTCAAATCAGATTTAAATTTGGATTTCCGTCGTTAGAAGTTGTTTCTAAACAGTACGATTACTTGATTAGCAGATTGCTTTTATCCTACCTGCTCATCCATGCAATGAAATGCAGAAAAGTAAATTGTGGTCTTAAAACAACCATCCTGCTTAAGCCGCAGAGGCAGCAGTGGGAAGTTTAATTTAATTACCATGATACTCAGAGATGTAACTTAATCACATTAAGTATAGATCAACGTGCTCTCATTTAAGCTCTCCAGACTTCAGAAAACAGGGGCCAATCGTCTCCCACCCATCTTTAATCCAGGGAGAAGCAGAATTTTCCAAGGAAAAGGAACCAGCAAGGCTTATGGAGAGCTTGTCCCTGGGCTTGTTTCAGTGAATTTCTCCCCAAAGGAACGTAATAAATTGGTAATAGCTCCCACCCCCACTCACCGTTGTTCTTGGGGAGAAAGAAGCCCCGAAAATCGCTTTTTGTCCCTCTCAAATGGCCTAAGTGTTGCCTTACTTGGTACACAGTCCCGCAGAAGTGCCGGCACCACCAACCACCTGAACCTCTCTGGGTTCGTTCAGCGTGTGGACGCTACCCACCCCGTGTTAGCCTGGAGTATCGCAGAGAGATTGACAGGACGGAAGATTGTACAAAACCAGCACGGTTCATTAGCAGGAATCGAAAGGATCTTCTTCCCCCTCTGGGCTTCCCTCTGCCAGCGCTGTGCACTTGAGTCAAACTCACCATGTGGTCATTGCTCCCCCGAGCGCGGCAGAGCCCTGGAGGAGTGTGGGTCCCCTCGGCATCACCCCTTGGCCGCATCCTGCTGGCACGGGCCGGGGGGGGAACCAGGCAGCACTTGTCAGAGCACAAATGCTACGGCAGAGCTGCCAAGGTGTTCTGGGATCTGTAAAAGCTGCTTGGCCTCACCTTGACCCTTAAAATAAGCGGGGTTTG